TCTAGAAACTCCAGCCAGAACAATCGTGCAGGAGAAGGAAATTAAAGGGACACAAATAGGAAAAGAAGAACTCAAATTAGCTCTCTCTGCTGACAGACCTGATCCTATATTTAGAAGACCCTAAAAACTCCAATAGAAGATTTCTAGAGCTGATAAATGAATTCAGCAAAGTGGCAGGATACAAGATCAACACTCATAAATCAATTGTATTCCTATACTCCAATAATGAATCTGCTGAAAAAAGAATTAGAAAACTATCCCATTCATAACAACCTCAAAAAAGAAAATACATGGAAATCAATCTAAAAACGGAATTGAAGGATCTCTACAATAAAAACTATAGAACACAAAAGAAAAATTGAAGATGACCTTGGAAGATAGAAAGACCTCCCACATTGCTGGATAGGCACAATTAATATTGTCAAGCTGGCCATACCACCAAAAATGCTATACAGATTCAACACAATCCCCATCCAAACACCAATGATATTCTTTACAGAACTAGAAAAAGTAACGCTACATTCATGTGGGAAAATAAGAGACCCAGAATAGCCTAAGCAATTCTTAGCAAGAAGAGTGGAGCTGGAGGCATCACAATGCTGTGCCTCAAAGTGTACTATAGAACTAAAGTAACAAAGTGCATCTTACCGGCCCTAAAACAGATATGAAGACCAATGGAATACAACAGAGGTCACAGAGACAAGCCACATAGATACACTTATCTTATACTAGACAAAGGTGACAAATACACACATTGGAAATAAGACAGACTTTTGAACAAATGGTGCTGAGAAAACTGGAAATCCATAACAGAGGAATGAAATATGATCCCCATCTGTACAAAAGTCAACTCCACGTGGATCAAAGACCTGAGAATAAGACCAGAAACTCTCCAAGTGCTAGAAGAAGATGCAGAGCCAACACTCCAGCATGTCAACACAGGAACCAACTTCCTTAACAGGACTTCTAAAGCACAAGAAATAAAATTAAAAATAAATAAATAAATGGGATGGCATCAAATCAAAAAGCTTCTTCACAGCAAAGGAAACAAAGGCATGAAGAGAGCCTATAGAAGGGCAAAAGACCTTTCTCACCTGCTCCTCAGTTAGGGCATTAATATTCAGATATACAAAGAACTCAAAAAACTTAACACCAAAAAAACCTAATCAATAAACGGGAAAAAAACTAATCAGACCCTCTCAATACAGCCAGGCATGGTGATGCATGCCTGTAATCCCAGTGTCTCCAGAGGCTGAGGCAGGAGGATCATGAGTTCAAAGCCAGTCTCAGCAAAAGTAAGGCGCTAAGCAACTAACTCCGTGAGACCTTGTCTCTACATAAATAGGAGTAGGGATGTGACTCAGTGGTCAAGTGCCCCCGAGATCAACCCTCGGTACCCAAAAAAAAAAAAAAAAAGAAAATATAAATGGTTAAATATTTTAGAAAATGTTCAACATCTCTAGCAATTAGAGAAATGCAAATCAAAACGACATTGATATTTCATTTCACTCCAGTCAGAATGGCAATTACCAAGAGTATAAATAACGATAAGCGTTCATGAGGACGTGGGGGAAAAGGTACACTCATACATTGTTGGTGAGACTGCAAATTATGACAACCACTCTGAAAAGCAGTATGGAGATTCCTCAAAAAACTAGGGGGGGCTGAGGTTGTAGCTCAGTGGCAGATTGCTCAACTTGCATGTGGAAGGCACCTGGTTCAATCCTCAGCACCACATAAAAAATTTTAAAAAGGTATTATGTCCATATACAACTAAAAAAAAACGAGGAATGGAACCACCATATATCCCAGCTGTCCCAGTAAATATCCAAAGAATTTTAAATCAGCATAGTATAGTGATGAAGGCACATCAATGTTTATAGCAGTACAATTCACAAGAGCCAAAGTATGGAAACAACCTAGATGCCCTTCAACAGATGAATGGATAAAGAAAATGTGGTGTATGTACACAATGGAGTATTACTCAGCCATAAATAAGAATGACATTATGGCATTTGCCAGTAAATGGATGAATCTGGAGATTATCATGTTAAGTGAAATAAGCCAGTCCCACAAAATGGAAGGATGAATGTTTTCTCTGACATGTGGAAACCAATCCAAAATAAAGTGGAGGGGGAGGGGGGAAAGAAAGAAAAAAATGGGACAGGGAATTTCATCAAAATAGAGGAAAGACATTAGAGTAGATGAAGGAGATTGAAGAGAAAGGAAGGAAGGACAGGAAAAGAAGAGAATGGTGGAGTGATCTCATTGAACTTTCAAATGTATACACAGGAATAGAGCACAGAGAATCCCAATATCAAAGATATCCACCAGAGACTAATGTAAAAACAAAACACTACAAATAAATTGTAGAAAGATCAGCAGAGGAGACGGAGAGGAGCAGAAGGAGGAAGGAAGTCCTGAGGACTGAATTAGACCAAATCGTATCCCTTGCTTTTGTGATTAGGTCAAAATGTAGCCTAATGATTTATATAACAAAACACAATAAAAGTGTTTAAAAAAATATGCATTGTAGATTGAAAACAGTAAAGACTAGAAATAACATAAATGTCTATTAAGAAAGACTAGCTAGCTAATTTGAGTCTACATTGCATATGTGGTTTTAAAAAACCACAGATCTTGAGGTAATTTTACATATGGACCACAACAAAATAGTGGAAAAGTTGTAGAAAAGGACATAAACTAGGTCTTATTACAAACTTTTAATCATCTACATATACATACACACAGTTTAAAACACAATTTATGTGAGTGTGTGCTAGGGCTTAACCCAGGGCTTCACACATGTTAAGTATATGCTCTACCACTGACATTCATATAACTTTTTAGGTTAATAATCTCTGGTAAATAGAACGAATTTTTTATTTTAGAAACCCTTCTATTTTATTTGGGGAAAAAAATGAACACATACAGCATTCAAAGTAAAAAAATATCCACATATTTTAACTTATTGCCCCCAAAATAGTTACTTACAAAACAATTTATAATATGAATTCACTTTGAAATGAGTAACAATGGTTATGTCCAGAACAGAGTACAGAAAAAATCCACAATGTAGTTCATAAAACAAAAAAGTTCTTTTAAGAATATCATCTTTCTCTAAAATAGTGATCAACCTCCAGAACTATATTTGTCCACAATATCTTTCCTGGCAACTTTTCAAAACTCTGGAGAATCAGCTTTATTGTTGGATTGCCCAGTATACTAAATACAAGTAAGTTACAGATAAAACAATGCCAACAAATTCACAGAATTTATGAATACAACTTTTCTGCTAGATAAGTTTTAAACGTCTCCTTGATGAAGGGAATTCCTCTAATGAAGTTAACCTCAGATATTTTTTTACTTTGAATGCTGTATGTGCTCATTTTTTCCCCAAAGCATGACCAGGCATGATACTGGTCCCTCACAGTAAGTGTTCTGTTTTAAAATATCTTCTACATATCTACAGTCAACATCAATATGCCTGGGGCCTTTGTTTCAAGGCCAAAGCTAGAGGCGAGACAGGAATTTACATCATTTCACAAGCAAGAACAGGAAGAAAACTCTGAAAACAGCCCAAGGAAGCCCCGGGTTCTGTCTCCAGGAATCTGAACTTGACACAGGGTATCTTGGTCCCCTACAGGCCTAGCTCCAAATGTGGAGCTTACAAATGTTCTGACGTAAGGGGTCAAGGCCTTCTCTAAGCCTCTGATTAAAAAAGAAGCAGAGCTCTGGGTCCTCATGTTACTCCAAATGTTTTCCATCTCAGCCCTGATCTGAGATTCAACCGCCTTTGTTTTCCCTCTAGACCTACTGCTGCATGTAACAGCTTATAGCTACAGAAGGGAAGTGCTTAACATGTACCTACTCTTTGGACAATAACCCGATGATGCATTTCTATGTGACAGATGAAGAAACTGAGCTATGAGGTACAGGACTACTCAGTGGCCAACTAGTATTTAAACCTGGAGATTCTCATTCCTGAGTATAATCTTTCCTGTGCAGCACTCACCATCTCTATGATGTATTTCTTCTAATCCAGAAGACATTAGCAAGCTTCAGCCAATAGTGCTCTGAACTTTTAGTATTAATCTCAAGGCCAACGGGCCACCTGTTTAAAATGTTTATTTTTGGTACTGCCATTGGTTCTTGCCATTATTGGATAACTGACACTATGGAATCTAATTCACAAGTGTTATTCGTTGATGCCTTTCTTAAATTTTCAAAAGCTGTTATAGCAAGAATTAGACACCCCACCTCTTAACCAAGCAAAAAGACACTGGTTCAGATTCTCATTCTATCACTTAGTGTTTTCCTTCATCAGCAAAGTAAGATATAAAGGTAGAGTCAGGTGTCAAGTAATGTAATATTAAAAGACCATGTTGTTTATGAAACTGAAAAAGTAGAAGTTCTATAAGATGGAAACAATAAAAACTAACTGGCAAAAAGTATACATCTAACCTTTCGAAATTATCACAAAGAAATCAATTACTACACACGAGAACGAATGCTACCAATAAAATTCATTCATTCCATCCTCACTTCCACTGAAGTGCAATAACTTAACAGATTAATAAATGATTATATAAGAAATGTCTTAATCTGTTGCTGGGTAAGCTCCAGCACCTTCCCAGTGAATTAGAAATGCACCGTGGACAGTGACAATGACTTTCCCTCGTGCATGTTCTGCTCTGCTGCAGATGTGTTCCCGCTGCGGTAAGAGGTCTATCAGTTAACTAACTGTACAGGTACACTCACTGGGCTACAGGTAGAGGACCCACAACCTATCAAGTCATTCAGTCTTCATAAGGACTCATATGTATGTTAATTTTTCAGATAAGGAAACCGAGGCCCAAGGGAGGATGAGAAAACTGAGGCCCTGGGATGCAGTGCGAGGAATCAGGCAGCATGAGGCTGCAACCGCTCGGGGTGGCATGGAGTCCCTTTAACCTCTCTCCGGGGAGGGCCACCCTGAATGGCGAGAAGCAATACAGTACCAGCGGGAAGCAGGGGCTCCAGCGGGGTAAAGACATGCTCCATGGCGGAATACTGGCCTCTGCATTAAAACACAAAAGTGCAGGTTAGAATGCCCCAGGCTACCAGGGGAGCGCAGCGCCACCGCCCAGCCCGCGCGTTGCGGTCCGACCCGCGCAGCGCTGGGGCTGCGCATCGCGGGAGCGCGCGGGCAGGGCGGGAACAGGGCAGCGAAGAGGGAGACGGCAAAGCGGGCGCGCTCTGTGCTCTTCGGGGACCGCCCCTCCCGCCTCCATCCGGGAACCCGGCATCACCCACCGGCCGCCCCCTCCCCACTGCTCCCCCTCCTCCC